CCCCCCTCTAGCGTTGGTCTATTATTCTAACAAAATAACTTTTAATTTATAGGCTTCTTATTGAAATATTTTTTGTTAAGTGACTTACGTGCAGTGAGAGATAAGGAAAGAGATTTTTTTGTAAATGATTTGGTCAATCTCGAGAAAATAAAAAAACCAGCTTAAAAACTATGTAGGCAAACTTACTATTTTTTAAAACTTATAAGCAACTAATAAGTCAACTTAACTTATAAGCACAGATGAATACATTGGCAATGTTTGGGATCAATATTTTCAATTAGTGTTAGCATTTTAAATAACATTTAAAATGCATAGATAGACTTTAAAATGCTTCAGTTAAACGTTGCCGTTGTATATCCCCTTTTAAATTCTTTTTGAAATGCTAATACTTACGCTTTTTCCAAACATACATGTTATCAACTAATTTATAAGTTTAAAATAATTCATAAATAATTTTGATCAACCTATAAATACAGAGAAATACTTTGAGAATAATAAAAATAATGATAAATAAACAAAAATAATTATAACCTTTATGGAGTACAGTATACAATACACCCCATAAAAAATGATTGCATTTAATTGAAACTTAATTTCATTAATAATTTGCCATTATTTCCCAAAAGTTTAAAACTATCAGCATTTCATTAAAAATTATTATTCCATTTTTCATCCAAAATTGGAATTGATATATAATTATTTAATACTAAGCTTCACTACATCTTCAGCTACCACTTAGGGGATGCAAGGTGGTTAATTAATGGGGTTTGGATCGGAAGGAGTTGTCCTCTTTATATCAAGTTCAACAATCTTTTACAAATGCGGTGGAGCACGGGCACCTTTGTGATGAATGGGGTTTGGACCAGAAGGCACAGTTCTCTTTACATCTCTTTTAAAAACCTTATACGAATTGAATGGGGGAAGCACAGGCACCTTTTTGATGAATAGGGTTTGGATCAGAAGGCACAATCCTCTTTATATCGCTTTCAACAACCTTATACGTATGCGGAGAAGCAGGGACAAGTTTGTTATGGAGGGGGTTCGAAGGCACTGTCCTCTTTACTTCGCTTTCGACGAGGACCTGATATAAAGGAGATGAAGGAGGAGCACCGTTATGAAGCGGGTTCGGGCCAGAAAGGCAGTGTCCTCTTTACATCGCTTTCAAACACTTTATACGACGGAGGGAAAAAAGGAGGGGCACCATTATGAAGGGGGTTCGGACCGGCCAGCATTGTCCTCTTTACATCGCTTTCAAACACTTTATACCACGGAGGGAAAAAAGGAGGGGCACATTATGAAGGGGGTTCGGACTAGATGGCACTGTTCTCTTTACATCGCTTTCAAACGCTTTATACCGCGGAGGGTAAAAAGGAGGGGCACCATTATGAAGGGGGTTCGGACCGGAAGGCACTATTCTTTTTACATCGCTTTCAAAGACTTTATACGGCGAAGGAAAAAAAGGAGGGGCACCATTATGAAGGGGGTTCGGAGCGGAAGGCACTGTTCTCTTTACATCGATTTCAAACACTTTATACGCCGGAGGGAAAAAAGGAGGGGCACCATTATGAAGGGGGTTCGGACCGGAAGGCACTGTCCTCATTACTTGATCCCTCAAAAACCAATATGTGGGCATAATTGGGTTTGTGGGCTCAGAAGAAATAAGTGAGAATATGAGTGAGAGAACCAACAAAAGAAGTTTATATTCAAACCTCATTTTAAAGATTTTTTGTGAAGGTAATATTGTAAGCAAAGGCCTAAGTGTGATGATAATAGTTCACTAAGTGCATTGTTCTCTATGGCTTTATATACTCAAGAATTTGTGTTTAAGTGAATGTGGCCATGTCACTACTTTTGGTTATTTGGTTAGAGAAAACAATTTTGCCCAACTATTATAATTACTCCATATAAATTAATTTACAAAAATGCAGAAAATTTTCTATAGTTAGGAATGAATATATGGAAATGTTGGCGGTGGATTATTTTGCATGGAAAAAGTGTGTACACGTACCAAGAGTTGTGTTATTTTGATCTTAAAATTTAAATGTAATATGTAAAATTTCTGATATATTTTCTATGGATTCATAATTGGATTTTTTCTTCTTAAAAGGCCTAATAGATCTCATCATTGCATGTTTTAAGGTCCATAAAATGAGTTAAAAGATAAAACCATAATAGAATATTAAGAAATCACCGTAAATAAGAGTAAAACATAGAAAAGTACCAAACTATATATGAGTTTCATGTTTTTAATATCTAAATAAGAGTTTGTAGTATGGTAATGCGGCACTGTACATGGACATTTTACGAATAAATATTATTTTTAATTTTTTTTAAAATTTGATTTTATTTATTGAATTTAAAGTATTCAATTGAATAAAAATATTACTACAACTAATTTTTAATTGTAAGATACACTAAACATTGTCAAACACTATTGTTTATAATTTTTTTCAAAAACTTTAAATAAAATATATATCTCCCATCCGTATTACATAAAATTTGTTCGTAATTTTTATTTTACATTGGGAATATTCTTTTTCTTACTATATTTTTGCTTTCTTTGTAATATTTTCTTTGAGTTTTCGATTTATTTTGGCAAACGGATACATTTTTTACTATTTTTGTTCATGAAATTGTTTAAAATGTTTATTTTTGCGGGTTAGAGTTTCATTATTGATAAACTACAAACTTAAGTTATAGTATTGGTACATAAATTTGAAATGCATTAGATTGCTAATATAAAGGTAATGTTTACTTTTTCACACTGTTCATATTAAAAATATTTAAAAAACATTAGAATTGGTATCTTATTTTGAATTGAAATTATATTAAAAAATTATATTAAATAATAAAATCAAAACATTTAAAAAACTTTTAGTATTAATGTTAAACTAATTTTAAGTATAATAAAAAACTTAAAAAAATATAATACTCCGTATTATAAAACTATATAGAAAAAAATATTTTTAAAAAATAAAATGTAACCGGTCCACCGGTCCGGACTGAAACGCAGTGGACCGGACCGGAACCCGAATAAGGAAAAATGAGGACCGAAGACCAAACCGAATAAGGACCGATCCAGTCCGATTTTGGCCGGGTTTTGGGTCGGTCCGGACCGAATAATGCACCCCCCTATATAAGAGTAAAACATAGAGAAGTACCATACTATATATGAGTTTCATGTTTTTAATCTCTAAAATAAGAGTTTGTACTATGGTAATGCGGCACTGTACATGGACATTTTA